TTAGCAAATGTTTGATCTCAGTTCAATTATTTTAATTTTAAAATTACTGCTACATCCTTTATTACAATCACGCTAGAGTTATGTGGTTTGGCAGTAGTCATAATAATCTGAAGGTGTGAAAGACTTTATGGCATATAGCTCCCAAAACTTAACCATTGAAAACTATCCTGATATCTGCTTAATTAATATACTGAAGATTATGTATGCAAGGCAAAATTATAATTTAGAGGACTTATAAAAGCACTATAAGAAAATTCATATATATTTATATGATATTTATAGATATTTAGTCAAAGCAAATGGCTGATTATGCATAAGAATAATAATAAAGTTAAAATATAAAGGCAGTGGTTAGTATAACAAGTTCTATAAGTTATAGAATTTAATTTGCATAATGGTTTTTATGTGCATATATTAATTTGTGCTAAGAAATAGGATTAGAGTTGATGAAAATCACACGTGCAAGGGTACTACAAAAAAATTTGTTATTAAGTATACTGTAATTTTTACATTCTTTGATTTATTTCTTTAATCTCATTCTTTTGTTTTAAAAAAATTTTCAAATAAATAAAAAATTTATTAAATACTAGTTGTTTGGAGGAGACACTTTAAAGTCTTTTGACGGTTAAAATTTGAACAATGTACTTGAAGATTTTGGTTTTGGCTGATAAATAGAATGAGGCGATATTTACAAGAAAAGAAAAGAGAGAATTAGTTTTGTTATTTAACTCAAAATTATTATATATTTTTCCTAGACCTCCACTCCAGAGTAAAGTAAGCGAGCGTTACAAGGGCGATTGAACCAAAAATGAGAAAAGAAGGGCTTTGAGGGGCAGCTTTGTTGTACATCCCAAAAGGAACAGGGTGGACAACACTCCCCTTTTTTTTTTTTTTCCCTTCTTCTGCTTAGGAATAGAAAAATATGGGAGTGAGTGATGGGTGGTACTAATGATGCAATTATTATAATAATAACAGCATAATAAGAAGCTTGAAAGCCGCCTTGTATCATTTTGACAGGGAAAAGGTTAGTAGAGATGGCAGAGAGAATGATTTCAAATGAAGATGAGAATATAAATATATATATATATATATATTTATATAAAAAGAAGAAAGAGCGAGGGCTAAGATATATAGTTGTTCCAAAGGCTAACTTTGCGGACATGAAGCCAAAATTGTAAGGTGATGGTCCTCCTTTGATATTGACACAATTACTTAGCCTGGTCGGCCTCTTGCTTTTCATACTGGGGGGCCATTTACATATTTAGGAATAATTGTGGGGTTACCTATATATTTATTGACCTAGATTATTCATCTTTTTCTTTTTCATTTTGCTTCTCTTTTTGGACTTATATTTCAAGGAATGTACTAAAGAGACAAATCCATATAAATTTATAAATTAAAATTTAATATCTCACCTTCGGTTTATTAATATTTGATATTCTTAGAAGATTCTACAGCATTGCTCCAATTTTAATGGGTAATAAACTTATATTTTCATGATTTTTTTTTTTATAATCTAAAACTTTCTCCTAACAATGTTGTGGAAGAATCTAGCTTTTAAATGCTCACTTTTATTTATGCCATTGGCAGTAAAAGAAAAACAAGAATGATGGAACAAAATGAACTGTTGAAAGCTCAATTATGAAGGTCATCATCCTCATATGTTTTGGTTTTAATTGTTGTCCAGGAGTAGGATATTTGTAAGCCCCATAAATCGGAATACTTAGGTTATAGCTTCCTATGTTTAAGAGGCAAGATATATTCTTGTATTTGGCCTACTTAACTGGAATGGATAAAGTTTTTTTATGCAGGAACAAAGAAGGTAAGAGAGCTAAAAATGGTTGAAACGATATTTACACAAAAGTCCCCAGACAAAACCTCGTGCAGATCCTCTTTATCCCTTTCACTTTTTCTTTTCTGCTCTCCTTTATCCTGAAATGAAAGCACTGTCACATGTAACCCTAGTACCTTACAAAATGTCAAGGTCCTGGAGATACTTGATCCCTTTTATAGCTACAGCCTAGCATGTCCTAAACCAAAGAATCAACCTTATACAAATCTAAATTTAATTAAAGGGTGCTGGGCAACACTCTCTCCCATTTCAGAATTTGAAGTCGAAATCTTTAAATTAAAATTTTCATTCTCTTGTAAAATGCGATATTAATATGGGGTTAAACAAGGGTCGTCGTCCAAAAAGAAAATGTTGGGTTAAGAGAAAGGTGGAAGGGAGGGAAAGCATAGCAACATGTTCCAGATGAGAATTGAAGTACAAAAGTTTGGAAGTATGCTCAAACCTTTGGGTCCCAAAGATGTAGTGTCCGCATCATTCCTGACATTTACAACTTTTTCGTGTTCACTAATTGGAGTGGGAGGGGGCCCTTTAAGAATCAAGAAGAGGAGCCATTTGATTTGGTTAGCAGTACCATTCCAATACCGTTACGTTTAGCCTTGTCATCATCAATGATATTTAATAAATGCACAAGTCCATAAGAACGTTGATCATAAGAAATTAAGAAGGAGACTCCTTTTCTTTGTAAATGCTTTCAAATTTAATGGTAGATATTGGTGCACGCGTACGTTTGTGCATACACATATATATATATTTTTAAATAAAAAAAAATATTTGGCTAGATGTGAAAGTAAGTTGCTGCTAACTCAAATATTTCTTGAAAATGAATGGTCCATCTATAAATGAAAGGATTGGAAAGACCTTCTTTACTTTCATTTATAATTCAGCCAACCAACACTCACAGTTCATGGGAAGATGTTGGAAATATTTCAAAGCAAATGTTTGGTAGCGGTAGGGGAATGCATGGAACCCGTGAAGTAATCAATGGATCTCAAAGTCTGAAACTTCTAATGGACTCCATTTCACATGCAGGCCTTATGTTTACTGAACTTGGGCACGTCAAGTTGAAGCCCAGTGGAAGGGCTAGGCTATCAACTAGCACAAGACAATGGTAAAAATGATAATTAACTAGATTTCCCACAACTTGAATATGTGCTTAACACGTAGCCTTCTGTACATGTCATTAAAAATTCACAAAGAGACAGAGACAGAGTACTGTAAATGAAAATTTGCTCTTTAAATTTTATTAGTTTAATAAAGTTTGCCCCCATTAGAAGCGTCTATGGTATGGGATTAGGTTGGGTCTCTTGCTTGACCCATAATGAGTTGAGCCTGCTTGCTCCACCCATGGACACAACTAAGTCCTAGTGAGTTGAAGGGTTAGTCCTTAATATTTGAGATATTTTATTTATGAAGAAAATTTTTGTTTGCTTAACAAGGGGATATTATAAGGAGATTGTATTCTAGACATTTGGGCTTGTAATAAGATATTTTATTCTTAATTAGCATCATCAATATAAATAACAATAGTCATAATCATAATGAATTCTTGGACCTTGTGTAAGTAAAAGTCAAATGGAGGAAGCACGTGACATCAACGTTTTGAGTTTCTCCCCATTTCTTCCCGTAAATAAACATATTAAAATGGTTGAATACATTTGTTTTCAAAGATAAAAAGCAGGCTGAAACGTTTCCTACGCTTAGTGGGCATTGACAATAGAAGGTCAAAGTTGGAGATGTGATCATGAGACAAAGGGGCATTAACTTTTCTATTAATTAAAACTATTGAATTACGCTTACTTGATCATTATCTTTTCTATTAATTAATATATTTATGGCTTTTTTTTATGACTGATCGTTCTTAATTAATGAAAACTGTACCTATGTTTACTTAACACTTGAGATGATCATGAGAAACAAAGGAACAGCACTAATACCAAGTAAAAAGAGAAAAGAAAGTCAACCATTTTGTATTTTTGGTTTTCTTCGTCTTATCTTATCTTAAGTATTATAAGATGTTTGCAAAAAATTTAAATATTTTTTTATTTTTTTATATTTAATTAAGTTTTTATACATTTTATTTTTGGATCAAATAGGTATTTTTTTTAATAATTGATTAATTATCATCAATTAAAGTATCTATTAATATTTTTATATTTATGTGACGTTGACGTGAATGGTGAAAATATTATATGATCATATTATAATGGTATATAATCATTCATTATAATACATTAATATCATATGATATTTTAATTAATAAAAATAAATCAATTATTATTCATAAAAAATTATTTAATTTAATAAAAATAATATTTGATTTAGTGAAATAAAAAAAGATAAAATATCCAAACACCTTATATTTTGATCAAAATTACATAAGTGTCGATTAATTTTTAAAATAAACATTTCACTTCAAATGTCTAAACAAAATTAATATTAAATATAAAATATTTAAAATATTATTATTATTATTATTTTTTCTCCTAGGCGGATTGATGACATCCTCTTGCACTGGTCAACCATTTATCTCCACTTTGCACTCCCTTGAAGAGCACTAGACAAGTGCTCCTAAGGAATCCTGATCGAGCTCTCCAAGAAAGCCCTTAATCATGCTCTCTTAAGAAGCCCCAAATTAGGCTCCTCAAGGGAGCACCGGATCTGGTGTTCCCTTAGGAAGCCCCAAGTCGAGCCCCTAAATGAGCATCGAATTTGGTTTCCTTGTGGAGACCAATCGTTGCAGGTGATCGACTTTTTTTTTAAAAAATAAAAATTATAATTTATTTAATAATAATTTTTAAAATTAATAAAAAATAAAATTATTTTAAAAATATTATTTCATCATTAAATTAATAAATTATTAATAATTAATTAACGATAAAATTTACTTGTAAAGTAAAAATATTTTTTTTAAACATATTTATTTTGAAAAATAATTAATTTTTATGTAATTTTAATTAAAATTTAAAAAGTGTTTAAATATTTTATTTTAAAAATTATTTAAAATTATTTAAATAATTTTAAAATTTCTTAAATATTAAACCTCAGAATAAATACCGCCAGCAAATAAGCAAATACGTCAAAATGAGGGGACGATTAATGAATTGGACTCTTTAGCAGAAAAAAACTGATTAGTTATAAATTTAAATTTCCTGGAAGTCCACTGCCTCGTCCGCTTCACTGAAAACACGACAAAAGACCTCGTAACCGTCGAATCCTGTACGACAAGAAAGACGACGAACTCCGTTAACTCGTTATCTTCAGTGACGACCACTCCCTCCCAGCCTCGCTCTGCTCCCTCCACGTGTCTTCCGAAACTTCCATTTCCAACAGATAACCCGTCCCTCACCAGTCAACCACCGCCCCAAAGCAATCTTTATCCTCTCTCTCTCCGCACCTCGAAAAAGGCAAATCCAATCTCTCTTTTATTAAATATATATTCTTTGCCTCTTCTTTGTAGCTTATTTGTTGCTGTAGTTGCTTGATTGGGTCACCTTTATCTTTCGTCTCTTTTGCTTTGCTTTGGGTCTTTGGAGGGGTTGAGAAAGATGGATCATGCAGCTGATGCTCATAGGACTGATTTGATGACAATAACACGCTACGTGTTAAACGAGCAATCTAAGTACCCGGAGTCTCGTGGCGATTTCACCATTTTGCTTAATCACATCGTTCTTGGCTGCAAGTTTGTTTGCTCTGCTGTTAACAAGGTCTTTCTTTTATGTGTTCTTCTTTCTTCGTAATGGTGGTTTTCTTTTCTCCTTTCATTTTTCTTCTCCAAATGAGTTCTGGGTCATGTTCTGTTTAAACAAGTAAAAGTTGAGCCCTGCCCTATCAGATTATGCATTTGGGATAGTTGGTCTCGACTCTCGAATTTTAATCTTAGTTTTTCGCACTATTTGGTCTTATAAGTTTCGTAACCTGTTTGCTGTTTATTGGTGCAGGCTGGTCTTGCCAAACTCATTGGACTAGCTGGGGAGACTAATGTTCAGGCACGGAGTTGGCTATGCTAATGAATAATTTGTTTATATTCTAAAGCCTAAAGTAGTACTTCCTTGGTATTAATGTTCTAAAACTTAAGAAGTTTGTCTATTTTAAATAAAGGGTGAAGAGCAAAAGAAACTGGATGTGCTGTCAAATGAAGTCTTCATCAAGTCTTTAGTAAGCAGTGGCAGAACAGTGAGTAGTTGAATGACCTTTTTTTAGTAAACACTGGAGATGTTATGATTCTCTTAACATATTTGGATGTTGTACCAGTGCATCCTTGTCTCAGAAGAAGATGAAGAGGCAACATTTGTGGAGCCCTCAAAGCGGGGAAAGTACTTTCAATTGCTCTACTCTGTTTCCTAAAGAATTTCTTTCCATTATATTATAGAACTTAGAAGTACTAAAATTGTGGATTTTAGATTTATCTTGAAGTACATTTGATATGAGCTTGTCTTAAAATGCAGGTACTGTGTTGTTTTTGATCCACTAGATGGTTCCTCCAACATTGATTGTGCAGTTTCCATTGGAACGGTATGACTCCATATCCCAAAATACCATGCCATATCTTGTTTCATAAATTCCTGTGCCAAGTAATTATGTTCTAAGATAACTTGATATTGCAGTGGTCAACTGAATGTCTTCTCTTTCATCTAGATTTTTGGGATTTACATGGTGAAAGATAGCCATGAACCAACTCTAGATGATGTGCTGCAGCCTGGGAAGCATATGTTGGCAGCAGGCTATTGCATGTATGGAAGCTCTTGCACGGTAAAATGTTTACTTTTCTTGTTTTTTATATGTTTAGCTTTTGCCATGTGAACTTTCTCTCTTTCATTTTCTATGTCTGTTTAACATTTTTGAAAATTTTTCTTCAATTATTTTCCCTTTCTTTTCTCTTGCAAAGAGAGAATAGGGAACAGAGCTAATGATGAAAGTAGATTTCTCTTAAGAAAGAAATCCATTAATATTTGATATCTGTTTTTGTATTCTCTTGCAATAAATCAGATATCTTTAATCTCAGTTTTTCTTTCCTCGATAGAAGACATTGTAATTTTATGGGCTATTTGGTCTGTATTCTGTAGTATACTCTTGCTCTTCATACTTAAATGTGATGGCTTTACAGCTTGTGTTGAGCACAGGAGAAGGAGTTCATGGATTCACCCTTGATCCATCTCTTGGAGAGTTCATACTAACCCACCCAGACATCAAGGTATAATTGTTATGTGAGTATTGGATTAATTATATGAATAGCTACTCTATCTGCTAGTTCAGCTTCTTACACCTTAGGATTGAATACGAAAACTCTTGCTTTTGCAATCAATTGAGTTTAATGAACTTCAAGAATAATTTCCTTTGGCAAATAATGCAGTAAACATTTGCTCCTGATCTTGAAAGTTGTAAGCATGAGAGATTCTGTATATCCTCCTCTTTAGATTGCAGTTTTATGCCATTCATGAGAATAACAGAAAATATGATTAAAACATTTATCCCTCCCATATTTGGCCTGACAAAGTTGTCTATGGTTTCACACTCAAATGGCTGTTCGGCTTCTTTTGCCACAAGTTTGATAAGTGCTCTCATTGAACAAAGAGATTGAACTTACACAAAAACACACAACACATTCAACTTTGATAAAAAACTGGTATTTCTAGTGTTTTTACATTATAAGGGCCATATATTGTCTCTGTGTAGCAACTCTGATTTGTTTGTAATTTAGAAGCATTTGTTTATCATAATTCTTTTGTACAGATTCCAAAAAAAGGAAAGATTTATTCAGTTAATGAGGGAAATGCTAAGAACTGGGATGGTCCAACGGCCAAGTACGCTTTAATTAAGTTTAGTAGTGTTTTGTGTTTTGTACTTCTACTTGTGTGCAGTTGCCTCACTTTTTTTTTTCACGAGATATTTATTTATTTATTTATTTTTTAAAAACTTCAGGTATGTGGAAAAATGCAAGTTCCCTAAAGATGGTTCCTCATCAAAATCTCTGAGATACATAGGAAGGTAACATGGATTCTCTACATTGAAACAATAATACAAACATATGTATGAATTATTTGCTTTCTATTGTTACTGCTTGCTTATCTCCTTTGGTTGATTCTAGTATAGTATGAAGTCTATCATTGATTAATTATGTAATGAATGTTGCTTATAGAGAACTAGCCTTTTGTCATCCACTATGTGGGTCTTTAAGGAGAAGCTGAGAAGTAATAGTGAAAAGACAACCTCCCCTCTTTTAGAGGAAAGAAAGAGACAGGGGAAACTAAGGGAAGTTTGGAGCTTTAACTTGAAAATTTATTTGAAAGGGAGAAGTAAAATAGGAGTCTGAGTTTTGTAAAAGAGCAACTTAATGCTTTAACAAGTCTGAGTTCATGTGGAGTGCATTTACAGCTCCTTATTGGGATATGTGAGAAGAACAATTATTTCTTTACAAGCGTAAAAGATTTTGAAGTCAAGTGTGCTATATGCCTACTGTTCTATATGGTCTGCAAGACTGTAATTCATATAATCTGGATATCATAATTTCAATTCTAGCCCAATTGAAATCATCGTGAAATCTTGATTGGTGAAAACGTACATGGATTTATTAATTTGGAAAAAATTAAAGAATCTGATGGATCGAGTTTGAAACTGGCATATTTGATGCGTTTGTGGCCGTTGAACAATTTGAAGTTTGAATTTCTGATATTATGAACAAGTAGCTAGCATTACTCTTTTTCCAGGAGTCCCATCTGCTCTTTTTATAAGGTTAGCAAGGCCAATGCTGATGCCTTCTTTTAGGACACTTATTCATCTGCATAAATGATCGACAGTGACTATCTAATTTTTCCATCTGGATTTCTGTGTTTAGTTTATGATCTGGATTTGTTTCCTTTTAAAATGATTGTTGTTTTCTGATAATGACATTGTGATGAAACAGCATGGTAGCTGATGTCCATCGCACATTACTCTATGGGGGTATCTTTTTGTATCCTGCGGATAAGAAGAGCCCCAATGGGAAGCTGCGGTATGTTAAATGCAGATAGGGTTAATAGCTTTATTTTTTTTCTTCCTTTATTTTTTATTTTTTACTTACAGGTTTGTTAAATATGTTTTCCAACACAAGTTTTCTATTTTCAATGAGGTTTTAATTTGCTACTAAGTTTGAGTAATTTTTGTGAACTAGGGTTCTCTATGAGGTCTTTCCAATGTCATTCTTGACGGAACAAGCTGGAGGTCAGGCATTCACTGGCAAGCAACGGGTATTTACATTAAACTTTTCTGTTATCAAGGTCAAGCTGGTCTAGTGACTAACTAAAGCTTTGTATGTTTGATGCTTTTGCTGTTTGCATTTTTCTTTTCTCCGCAAAAAGCAAAAAATGTAAAATGAATAGAATACAAAAGTCAAATAGCAAAAGCATCAACTGAACAGAGATGATTGTGTTAGCTGTTCTAAAGAAGTGTTTCCGATTTGGCTGCTGGATTCATAGTTGTAATGATTTCTGTTGAGAAACCTACCGCAGTATATCTGAAGCCATAGCTTTATTCTGAAAGAAAAAAAAATTACTGCAATGGTAGGAGATGCTTTTAAATTTTTCGTAGATGACAATTAATTGAAGCCCATAAAATTGCTGAAACCTTGCTCATAATGATCTGATTTAACCTGATTAATTTTGCAGGCACTTGACTTAGTTCCGACAAAGATACATGAGCGATCTCCAATATTTCTTGGCAGCTATGATGATGTTGAAGAAATTAAAGCACTGTATGCTGCAGAAGGGAAGAAGGAATAAATGTACAATTTCTCATTCCTCTCACTCTACTTACATAGCCTTACTGGATTCATAAGATACATAATCCAAGCTTATTTTGTAATGGGATACTACAGTTTATGCATAGTTATATTTTGAATAAGAGTTTAGTTGAATGGTATTCATCATTGCATAAGCATTTGCCTCCAGGTTTCAGACTGTGTTGTAAAAAGGGTGTTAAGGACATGGATTAACAAACCATTTCTGCAGAGCTGATACTGATTGCTATTCAATTGGCAAAGGCATATGTTGATTGCTGGTTATACATGGCATCCAATAACAACCTAGCTGAAGCTAAGATGAGCTTCAGTGACTGCTTAAAGTGGTTCTTGCAGAGGTCTCCCACGGTGCGTTGTTGTGAATTGAAGCAGCTTTCCCCCGCCATTCAACAATCATAACAAAGAAGTTCTTTCAGAGTGCTTGATTAGTTCACTTGTTTCAATCTTAGCTTCCTCAATCAATTCATTTGACAAGTTCAAATAATTCCAGGCCATTTGCATATAATTGAAATATAGGTTTGAAAAACAAAAATTTTTTAAATTGATTGAACTATATATTTCTTACCTTTTAGCAAAGTATCCTCATATTTAATTTTTGTTTTCCATGATTGATGAAAAGTATAAATTATATAACTGTTAGATTTTAATTAGTAATTAAGTGAAGAGCAGATCATAAATCACTTATTAAGAAATATAAATTATTTTGTTTTTTTTCTTCTTGCAAATTTACTTGCTCTGAAAGTTTGGAAATGATATAATAAGGTATGGTCATTCTTCTTTTTTCCATTTTTATCAATCACTTAAAATTCAGTACTATGCTAGACAAAACGAAGAGGCTTTTACATTGTGATATAAGTATTTTGTAAGTATTTTAGTACTTGGAAAGTTTCATGGAATTCCATTCTGTTGAGTCTGACCAAATTCAGGAGACCAGACCACAATTCCAAGCCAGTCAAATATTGTATGGTCAATGTGCAACTGGAAGAACAGAACCTTGCTACTTCTTCTCAAAGGGGCAGTCTTTCAATAAAAGAAGGAAGAAGAGGAATATGTTGTGTGTAGAGTAGAGAGTAATTTGATCTGGATATTAATTTATTATGCCAAGAGCAACCTTCAAGCTTCTTGTTGCACAACACAACTACTACCGTTTACTTGTCTCTTTTGCTTGAAGAAATAATTTGCCTTTGGCTTCCTCTGTTTGTTCATCAGTGACATGGTTCTGCTTGTTGCATTTTTCTTTTTCAAGATTCAAAAATTCAGGCCTCCAGCATGACAGGGGCAAAATGGAAAAGCAATATCAGGGGAAAAACCGAGAAGAAATACAAATAACAATAGAATATTTGATTCATTAATTGATAAATGATTTTTTATATAAAGAATAGACAAGATTTGAATCCCCAACTAAAAAATACCAATGTTGGTCGCAGATTATATTTACATCCCAGTTATTTAAGCAACCCTGAGTCTAAGAACAAACAAGGCGCTGAGGCATTAGGGCCAGACCATTGACTCTTTATCTACAGAATCTTCTGTCTGACCTCCTATTGAACTTAACAACGCCTTCAAAAATGACTCGTCTCTATTCAGAAGGAGACAGACAGGCATAGGTCTCAAAGTTTCTATTATCCGAAAATGGCTCTCGTGCTTTTCCTCCTTCTTCTAACTTCTATATTTCTCACAACAGAAGCTCAAATAAGAGATTCCAACATTTCTTTAGGCTCTTCTCGTTCTCCAACTAACAATTCATATTGGTTATCAGAGTCTCGCCGGTTTGCCTTTGGTTTCTATCCCTATGGCAATGGCTTCTCTGTAGGCATCTGGTATGAAAGCATTCCGCAAAAAACTGTTGTATGGACGGCAAACCGAGATGAACCACCATTCCCTGCTGATGCCACATTGCTTTTAAGCACTGATGGTAGGCTTGTTGTGCAACAGAAGCAAGGACAAGAGACCCTCATCGCGAATGCTTCCTTTGCTTCCTCAGCCTCCATGCTCGACTCTGGTAACTTTGTTCTCTTTGATTCAAGTTAGGACATCATATGGCAGACTTTTGATTCCCCAACAGACACCATTTTACCTGGTCAGCGTCTTTTGCCCGATCACAATCTGGTTTCTGATGTATCTGAAACAAATCATACAAGGGGAATGTTTCAACTCATTATGCAGAGAAATGGGAATCTGGCGCGATACCCATTAGATTCAGTGGCACAGGAAGCTGCTTACTGGAATACAAGAACATTTAATGCTGGAGATAACGTGACCTTGAATCTTGATAGCAATGGTCAGCTTTACCTTTTAAATTCTACCGCATTGGTTGTAAAAACATTACCAGGAAGGTTAGTGTCTCGGGTACACTCATCTACAGTGCAACGATTGATGCAGATGGAATATTTCGATTGTATTCACATAGTTTCAACCAATCTGGTAATTGGTCAATCGAATGGTCATCCTCTAATAATGGATGCGTTCCTACAGGCTTGTGCGGTGTGAATAGCTACTACACTCTAATGGATAGGGAACCTGTATGTCAATGCCCTCTTGGTTTTGATTTCATTGACCAGGGCCAGAAGGACTTGGGATGCCAAAAAATTACAGTACAGATGCCTGCACTAGAAAGAGTGAGCAAAGTTTTGACGTTTATGAACTAAGCAGTGTGACCTGGGAAGAGGATCCTTATGCTACTCTCCAAGAGCTATCAAAACATGATTGCAGAGAGGAATGCTTCAAAGATTGTAACTGTGAAGTTTCCTTATATGGAAGTGTAAGGCGAGTATGCAGAAAGCTGAAGCTCCCATTAAGATATGGGAGAAGAAGATTGGGAGGTAGCAGGACAACTTTTGTAAAGATAGGTACTGGGGTTAGGACAATAGTTGGAGGGAAAGGAGAGAAGAGTGAAGTGCGAATGGACATCTTCATAACTGGCATTGGATCTTTGACACTTGCATTTTTTGTTTTAGCATCCTCTGGCATTTTTATATACAGGCACCACATTCAACAGTCCAGAAGGGTTTCGGATCTGAGAGATAATAGATTTGTTGAAGAAGTCACTTTGAAATCATTCACGTACGAGGAGCTAAAAACATGCAACTAATAATTTCACGGATAATATTGGTAAAGGAGCTTTTGGGACAGTTTTCAGAGGAGTCATATCAAATGGCAAGAAAATTGTAGCTGAAGGAGAAGAGAATTCAGGAATGAAGTGACAGCAATTGGGAAAACTCATCACAAGAACCTAGTTCAATTGCTTGGTTACTGCTATGACGGAACTAATGGCTTTTGGTGTACGAGTACATGAAAAATGGCTCACTTGCAGATTTCCTCTTTGGGAGGGAAGAATTGCAATAATATTGAACATAGCCAGAGGAATTTTTTACTTGCATGAAGAGTGTGAGATCCAGATCATCCACTGCGACATCAAACCTGCAAACATACTCATGGAAGACAAAGGATACGCAAAAATTGCTGATTTTGGTTTGGCCAAGCTACTGATGCCCAACCAAAGCAAGACATATACAGGAATCAGAGGAACAAGGGGATATGTTGCCCCTGAGTGGCACCAAAACTTGCCAATAACTGTGAAAGCAGATGTATATAGCCTTGGAGCAATGTTGTTTGAGATCATTTGTTGTCGAAGGAACGTGGAAGCAGATGTTCCAGACAATGAAGCAGTACTTGTAAATTGGGTCTATGATTGTTTCAAGGCTAATGAACTGGAGAAGCTGCTGCAAGAAGATGAGGTGGAAAAAGAAAAGCTAGAGAGGGTGGTTAAGGTGGGCCTATGGTGCACCCAGGATGAACCATCATCCCGACCATCAATGAAGAAGGTTATACTGATGCTGGAAGGGACAGTAAATATGCCAGACCCTCCCTGTCCTACTTCCTTTGTTAGCTCCCCATAGGCCATACCTGAGCTCAGCTGAAAATTTTGAGATTTAAGCACTGCATGGTAGCTGCATACGTCTTCTTTCACTAATTTTTTTTGTCTTACAACTTTATTTCATTGCTTTTGGGAATTGTACATGTCTGTTACTATATATATAAATCACTCGTCATCTTTCTGAGATCATATGAGAATTTTATCCTTCCTCTGACCATTGATACGGTCTAATGAAGGCTTTTGTCCAATTAAAGATTGTGGCAAAAAAATTTGGTATAGACACATAAAAATGACTTTGAATACGCACACGAATATTTTCTAACCAAATGACAGTCAAAACCAGTTCACGTTACGTGACTTGAAATTTGAGTAATTGCTAAGATCAATAAGATAAATAACAGGTTACTTTAAAAAAAAAAGGATAAATAACAGGTTATTTCTGATAAAGCAGAATCAAACTGCACAAACTCAACTATACCTGAAGCTGAAATACTGTCACAGTTCAAGCAGGAATATTTTTATTTGTAAGGTTTGATATGTTTAAAAAAAAAGAATTTAAGTTAAAGTTATAAGGTGAGAACATTTGGAGATCTCATTAATATTTTTTGTTTTGGGGTTTTCCATTTGCTAGGTCCTCACATATTTCACCATCAATGTTTAGTTTCCTTAAAGCCTAAATGTTTGGTTTTCTTTCAGTATTTACAAGTTTGGAATACCTGATATATACCACATTTCCAAAGAGGAAAAAAGGGAAAAAAAAACAAACTTTAGTAAGGGCTAGAGAAATTCTATCAACTTATTGAATATAAGCTTTTTAAGCAATGATGTAAAAAACCAGTCTTTATGCAAAACCTAGGGGATGCAAAGTTTAACTCTCTTTAATTGTTTCTTTTTAATATTATGATATTCAAAAAATTTTAAATTCATTGATTTTTACGCATATTAACAAATATTGATAAATAAATTAGCGAATTGAACAGTGACGAAAGGGAATTAAACTCATAAATAGAAGCCTTTGTGCATAGTTTCTTGTAATTTGGGTTGTTGTATTGTTTCTAATACTTAAAACTACAAAATTTCGATTATTTTTAACAAAGAAAATCTTACTTTAAGGGCAACAAATAAAAAGAAAAGCATTGGGAAAAGAAGAAAGAAAGGAAAGTTTGCACTATGGCATTATTGTAATGATGTATTTTTTTTTTTGTAAGATATTCTCATTGAATCTTTGCATTTATAATTTGATTAAAGGTTGGTTGGGTGCTTTGTTTACATGCTACACTGTGCTTCCTTGAAACAATGAGATGCCATCAAAATGAACCAAAAACAAGCCGGTAAAGGGCGAAAGAGGTACCAAAAGGAATAGACAACTCAACTATGATTTATTCTTGTAAAGTTTGAGACATCTCTAAATCTCAGAACAGCTACAAATTATTGCAGCCGTACAAGACAAACAATGACATTACTGTCAACGTATGAGCTACTTTAAACATAAAACCAGAGCGAAAATGGTAGAGAAGAAGAGTTGGGGAAGAAGACTACTAGTATTCGATTCACCAGAAGTTTAAATGGTCAAACCCGATCACGAGAAAGAGAAAATAGCATAAACGAAAGAACACAAGCGGGTCAATATGGGAGAGATGGTGCCGCTTTCAACTACACAGTTGGTACGTTGTACTTGTTAGCCTTTTACACAGAACATGTGGGTTCTTTTCCGGAGTCACTAATAATAGTTTGTTCCATGAAATAGGTAGAAATAGAATAAAATAATTATTATATGATAATAGAATAAAATAATTATTATGTGATTTAAAATAATTAATAAAATATAATAAAAATAATTATTATGATTTATTGTAGTATTTGATTAGTAATAATAATTTAAAAAATAAAAAATAAAAAAATAAAAAACTTTTTTATACATATAATTATTTATTTTTATTTTATTTTTTAACTATTAATAATTTAACTATTAATACTTTATTTATAATTTAGCCATTAATATTTTAAAATGTTAATATTTTATTTATAGTTTCATATTATTATGCTTAAAATATTAATCATTTTAATTAATTTTCAAATTTAAAATATCAATTTTTATGATATATAATTAAAAACTTAAACTTTTTATTATAATAAGATTTATTTTTTAAAACAACAAAAATACTCTTTATATAATTTGGTAAAATTTACATCAAAAGACAACAAGAAGCAAAATTTTTCTTTTTCAATTATTTAAGTTTTATTTTCATTAAAATTTTAAAATTTCAA